TTCTCTCTCTCTCCTTGATCACTTTATCATACATGCCTCTCCTTTCCTTATCTCATTCGATTTCCTACAAAACAAAGTACCATAATAAGATCCATAATATCTTATTTATGAAATATAAAATAACTGTAATTAAGGAAACAAATAAGCAAAAATTTTCCCTGTTTCTGTAGTTCCAGGTGCTTGTTCGAACCTTCGAACTAATGCCAAAATAAAATATATCTTTCAACCATAATAATAACACGCACATTCTAATCCTACACGTCGTCGTGTTATTTTGGCACAAAATTGATACACATTATTAACAATAGATCTCTCTCTAGACAAATCATATCTATATAATTACTCGTAATACATTTAATAAAACAATTTTTAGTTTCCCTCCATTTTCAGTTACAAACTTTTATTATTAATTTTTTACTTTTCACATTAATGCACTCTATTAAGTGAATAATATGCATTTTAACTATTATTATATAACAATTAATGTTAATACCAACTAATAACTATTCACGCTAAATAGAAATTACATAAGTATAAATAATTCTAATTTGAAATTTTTTCTTCAAGTTATTTATTCTAAAATAAATATTATCAATTTTTTTTTTTTATCTCATTAAACAATTTTTCTTAAAAAAATACGCTAAATTGTTTTAAACTTTTAACAACATAGTCAAACCACTATAAAATTTTATAAACAATTGTTGCTATAACAATAATGATGATGATGATATTTTTTTTTCTAACCTAAATTCTCGATCACTATCCATCCAAATTGTTAAAATTACATGACCCATATTTGTTTCAATCAATATAATGATTTACATATACTTAAATAATTTATATTTGTATTTTTTACTTTTACTACTGACAAAATCTAAAAAAATATGATATGTTCATTATCTATAATTTTAAAATTCTCACATATTACGAATAATATTTTATTTATTTGTGTATGTGCACAGGATAATAACTAGTTAGTACAAAGTCTTTCTATCTAATCAATAATAAATCCATCATTTTTTCATGATATTTTCCGAGCGCATAGGCCTGGTCCCTCCATCCCCGTAACTACGTAGTTGAACCCACAAAACACGCCATGATCACTTTTTTATTTTACTAATATTCTTTTTTTTTTTCTAGCTCACTTGAACCCACAAAACACGCCATGATTACTACTATGCCATAAGCCCCACACGACTGTTTATAGTTTTGTACTTTTGCTTGGACCAATCTTCCAAAATCACATTAGAGTTTAGTGACCACTACGGGATTGGGAGATTGTACATTGAGGAGCCGGAGCCTGCATGTAAGTTGGACGTGAGAAACCTTTTTAATAAAATTGTGATACAATTTTTTTTGGTACAAAAAAGGAGGGCCGAGGCCTAGCTACTACTAAGACAAAGTGCAACGGGGATAAGCTACCCCAATAATGTCATGCTTGAGCCACCTTTCAATGGACGGAGGCGGGGATGTCAAATGGTGCACCCTGAGGGGTTCAGACGCCGCTAGTGAAGCCAAATGATCCGCAGCGAAATTCGCTTCTCGAAACACATGTATCAATTCAACTGTCCATTCACGATCTCAGAGTTCTCGGATTGCCCGAACAAGGCTTTCATGAATTCCACTCACATCCTCACGCCCCATAACCATATTAATCACACTACTGTTGTCTGCTTCCGCCACCACCTTCTGAGCACCCAACTCCCATGCCAGAGAAAGCCCATGGAAAAGGCCCCACAGTTCGGCCCCAGTAATGGAGCAACTGCCAATATTAATTAAAAATCCCCCGAGTCAGCGCCTCTGTGAATCTCGAACTAGGCCGCCCGCATATCCACGTCCCTCATAGGATGAAAAAGCCCCATCCGTATTCACTTTCACCCACTCCGGCTCTGGTAAGGCCCAGTGTATCAAGCGAGTTTCATACTGTCGGGCTATGGATCCAAACTTCGCCAGTCTCGCATTCGCCGCAAGATACCCTCAGATCGACATCGTATATCTCGAACCTTAACATCTACCCGCCACGTGATATTAGAAAATATAGCGGCGTTCCGCCAGGCCCACATTCTCCAACACGCATAAGAAAAGGTTATCGGCCATGCCGGGTCCGGGAACGCCTCAACTGGAGTTAAATTGTACCAAAGCCAATCAGAGAGGTCCATAGCGAAAAAGCTGCCCAGTACAGCGGCCGGTACCAACTGATTCCATATTACACGAGCCGCATCACAATCCCGAAGGACGTGGAGAGTGGACTCCTCCTCACCACAGCATGCGCACTCCGCAGACTCGGCCAGGTGTCGTCGTCGGCGTTCGACATTGGTTAGTAGACGATCGCGAGCAACAAGCCAAGTGAAATGTCGCACACGCTGAGCTATAGGAAGCCTCCATATCAGTTTCCACAACGGTCGAGCCGCGGAAGATGCACCATCTGTTAAGAGCGAATAAGCCGACTTAGTCGAGAAATTCCCGTGACTCGTGAGCCCCAATATCAAACGATCGCTACCGGCATTAGCTTGCGGCGGCATGGTTGCCGCTATACGGAGCACAATGGATGACGGAAGCAGGCCTGCAAAACTGCTCCAATTCCAGCCTCCACGCGGGTCCACAAAGGCTGCAACTGGTTTAGCCAACACGTCCGGTGAAATAAAGCCCGTGGCAGCCGTGAGCAACAGTTGTTGGATGCCAACCCTAGTGTCGAGCCAAAAACGACATGTTAAGCCATTCCCCAAGGACCAGAGGCACCCCCTCTTCACGTGCCTCCAAATTCGTGCCACTTCCTGCAGACACACCGAATCTTGCGGGAATTTAAAGTCGTCCGACATTGATAGAGGGTTTAGTTTGTGCTTAGCACACAACACACGGACCCATAATAAATTAGGTTTGATTAGAAGCGCCTAGCCCAATTTCATCAAAAGGGCATCGTTCATCAAACGGGATTCCTTCAGACCGAGTCCGCCACACTCACGGGCTTGGCATACATCCTTCCACGGAACCAAGTGCAAGCCGCGTCTAGTAGCCGCTCTGCCCAACACAAACGACCGACACAGCTTGTCCATCCCTTCGCACACCACCCCCGGTAGGCTAACCGTTTGCATAGAATAGTATGGTAGAGAACTTAGGACTGATTGAGCTAACGTGACACGACCAGCCGCTGATAATGATGTGGCTTGCCATCCTGCCAGGCGTCCCTCTGCCTTCTAGAGAATACCAGAAAAGGTGGATTTGTTGACCCGACCATTTATGAGGGGAATCCCTAAGTAGCGGCCCAGATCTGTTACTCTGGAGAACCCACATAGTGTCGCTAAGTCATGTTGGGTAGCCTCATCAACGACCCTCGAGAATAACATCTGTGTTTTGGAAGTGTTGATTTTCAGGCCTGAAATCGCACAGAAATTGCCCAGGACATCGGTAAGGGCTCTGGCCTGGCTGGAATCAGCTTCAAGGAACAAAAGGAGGTCATCGGCGAACATTAGGAAAGGAACCGTTACTGCCCCTCGCCTGAAGCCGATGGGTTTCCACACGCCTTCCTGAACCGACTGACAGATTTGTTGCGCCAACCTCTCCATGCAAAGGACAAACAAGAAAGGAGACATCGGATCACCTTGGCGCACTCCCCTCGATGGTAGGAATTCTTCGCACACTTCGCCATTCCACAAGAGTCTGAAGGAAGCTGACGAGACACATGACATGATGGCACGGACCAGCTGTTTGTCCTATTTTTTTTACGTTTTTCTTGATTATTTTCCTTGTCTTTTTCCCCCATTTTATGTTTTTCGTGATAGTTTTGGTGCGTTTTGTTTCTTGTCATGTGATTTTATTTATTTAGACTCTTTATGTGCTTTTTCGGTTATTTTCTTCGTTTTCTCCGTTTTTGTTTTCGTCTAGTGATGTGCAGGTTGGGTACTTCGACCAACTTCAATTAAAAAGGCAACAGAATACGAACAACAATACAGTGGAGGACAATCATGGGTTCACCAATTTGCCAATGACCAGCACTAAAAGCGGATATCGGAAGTCAGACGAATACACACGGTCGAGCACGATGCCCAATTGGCCCTAAGTCCTTCCAACCGCCACAAGAAGCCTTGCCGGCTTCCGTTCATCGGCTGACATCGAAGCACCGTGAGCTTGCAGCAGAGCAGTCTCGGGACCACACTTCCATCTCCACGGCATGCCACCTTCACCGCGCCGCTCACCACGCTCAGACCTGCCGCGTCACGAGGTTCATGACTAGAATCTCTCCCAGCGCGCCCCGAGAGCTCCGCTGCGCCGTGAAGCTTCGACCACAACTCACTCAGATCATCCTTGTCGCACCTTCACTCACCTACCACGCCGTGTTGAGAAGAACCTCCGCTCCGCGCAGCCTGACTTCCACGCCACGGGACTAACTCCTTCCACGCCACGAAGCTCCCTCACGGCAGGACCCCTCCGCTGCTGCAAATTTTTCCAGACCCAGATTTTTATCCTTCCGCAGCCGCGAGGCCCTCCTTCACCTCGGCCGCAGCGACCAAGACCTTCCCAGTTTTTTCCGAATTCAGAGAGGAAATTCCGCGGCCTCGGAGAGCAGTCATGGCCGCGAGATTTTCTTCACCGCGACCACCTGATAAGTCGCGACCGCGGAATGTGCGCTGTGCAGATTTTTAATTTATGATTTACGGGACTCGTTCATTATCGGATTTTGGGGATTCTCAGCCTAGGTTATTTTTTTTTTCTTCCTTAGTTCTGAAAACTGTTTTTTTTCATTACTCTTTAAAATAATTGGAGACGGAAAAACACGGATCGGATTTTGGATTTTGCTATTTCTTTCGGATTAATCTTGTTTACCGGATTATTTCTCGATCTCTATTAATCGTAAGTTTTCTATACATTTAATCTATGAATATGATTGCTTTGATTACGGATGTTTGTGTTAATTATCCGATCATGAGTAGCTAAATTCTTATGCTAGCGATTATGGGATTGATGTTTTAATTTGTTCGTGATTGTCGGGCTTGAGATTGTTCATATTGTACGAGTTGCTCTTTTTCTAGGGTTTTTCAATTATCGTATTTGAATATTGAGGATTATTGAAGGGTGACATTCGATTTCCAATTGATTTCAATTGAGTTCGATTTATTCTTGTTTGATGTTGTTAATTCTAAACGGGCTAGTTGATTAATCATCTTCTAGGCTAAATTAATCGACTCTTAGAACCGAAAGGGGAGGAGTCGGTCGAAATAAGTTCTTATGAACTAGGCTTGTTCGTAGCTGTATTGCCTAGGCGTTACTTGAATTGTTAATTTGTCGTTTAAGCTTGTTCTCTTGTTACGAACAGTTATTGAGAATGAAAACTTGAACGATAGGTCTTTCAAATCATTTAACCGAATAATCTCTTGCCCATCAATTGCATCTTCGAATCAAAACGGATATCCCCGACTCCCTAGCTCCTTTAATCCTATTTGTTCTTCGTCTCAGCTCGTTATTTTTACTGCTTCATTTAAATTTTCATGCTAGTAGATAATTAAATCAAACCCAATAACTTGAATTAGTATGTTTAGGTATTTTATTTCTTTTTGTGTTTGAATAATCGTACATTATATTCCGGCTGACCTTCCTCGTGAGACACGGCCCGGTGTCCGAATCTTTCGATTCTACTCCGGAAAATTATTTACAACAAATTGGCGCCGTTGCCGGGGAAGGTTCCGGACTTATTTTGTGCGCCTATTCATTTTGTTTTCCGTGTTTCTCTTGTTTCTTTTTATTGTTAGGTGTTAGTTCTTCGCTTTCTTTTATTTTTATTTTATTTTCTTTTATCTATCATTGGTGCTCGTAACCCTTGTTGGTTTAGTGTATGCGTACCAGGAGTGGACGCAAATTGCTATCTCCGATCAACAAGTCAGTTAGCGAGAGCCTGAGAGAGCTGCTAGACGAGCTTACACTGGAACCTGTAGAAAAAAACCAGCACTCTCCAAAATCATCTGAGGGGAATACTTCGAACATGGCTCAACAACAACAACAACAACCTCCTCGCAATGTCCTCCGAGATCTGGCCCAGCCCATGATCGGGCCAATAACATCTTGCATCCAGTTGCCAGAAGCCGCCCGCAACTATGAGCTGAAGGTGGTCCACTACAATCAGCTCCCATCATTCCACGGGCTCGCCAACGAGGACCCACTCCACTTTCTTCGGGAGTTTTACAACGTCCTCTAGACGTTTTCTTTACACGGGTTAAGTGAAGTCGAACTCAGAATGTGGTGTTTCCCGGAGACCTTGAAAGACCGAGCCAAGGCGTGGCTCATGACCCTCACCCTGAACTCTCTCACAACCTGGGCAGAAGTATACTCCAAATTTGTTGGGAAGTACTATCCCCATCAGAAGACTCAGGACATCCGGTCCCAGATTGTCTCTTTCGCTCAACTGCCACACGAGCCTCTTCACGAGGCCTGGGAACGTTTCAAGGACCTCCAAAGGCAGTGCCCCCACCACAACCTTGCTCCGGGGTTACTAGCAAATTGTTTCTACGACTCTCTCTACCAGAACCTGCAATACATGGTGGACAATGCAGCCGGAGGGGATATTGGAGCCAAAACTGCCGAAGAGATGATTGCGATTTACGAGACGATAAGTGCTAACTCGTCTCAGAAGAGCAATAGAGGGAAGAGGACCACAGTGAACGAGGCCGGACCGGGGAATAACGCCATGACCCAACAGTTAGCCGAGCTCATGGAGCAGATGCGACTATTGAATGCTCGAAGCTCCTCACCGATCCAGGCTATGGCCGTGAGTGCTTGTGGAGCATGTGGAGTACAAGGACACAGTTCTGAGGTGTGCCCTATGGCTATCGAGCAAAATTATGGGGGGCAAGGAGTTGAACTGAACGCTGTGCAAGGGTACCAGAACAGACCCGGGAATGACCCATACTCGAACACATATAATCCCGGGTGGAGAAACCACCCAAGCTTCTCCTGGTCGAACAACAACTATCAGCAGCCACCTCAACCTAACTTTGTACCTCATCAGTAGCAACAACAACCTAGGAGAATGTTAAGGCTGCCAGCCCCCGAAACTGGACCAACCCCACCAGGCATGGACGACAAGCTAGACAAGATTCTAAACTTTATCACTAACCAGGACACGTCCATTAAGCGTCTCGAGATGCAAGTGGGCCAGCTGGCCACACGGGTGGGGAACATTGAGACTGAAATGGATAAAGGGAAGCTGCCGAGCCAGCCGGAGCACGCAAAGTCGGTTATAGTGATCTTGCCCGAGCTAAAGAGCCCAAATAAAGAAGAACACACAGCAGAGACCCCAGTTATACCGTCACCTGAGCCTACTTTACACAGGGCCCCGACCCCATACAGACCGAGGATTCAATTCCCGAGTCGCCTTTTGGAGGAGAAGGACCGTAAGCTGATGCGAGACCTCCATGCCATGTTGGCTAAGGCCAACGTCGATTTTGTTGGAACCCACGAGGATCTCGATATGCACAAATCACAGACAAACAT